TCTCAGAAATTCAGAAATTCATAAATTCAGAAATTCAGAAATTCAGAAATTCAGAAATTCAGAAATTCAGAAATTCAGAAATTCAGAAATTCAGAAATTCAGAAATTCAGAAATTCAGAAATTCAGAAATTCAGAAATTCAGAAATTCAGAAATTCAGAAATTCAGAAATTCAGAAATTCAGAAATTCAGAAATTCAGAAATTCAGAAATTCAGAAGTTCAGAAGTCCAGAAATTCAGAAATTCAGAAATTCAGAAATTCAGAAGTCCAGAAATTCGGAAATTCAGAAATTCAGAAAATTCAGAAATGCAGAAGTCCAGAAATTCGGAAATTCAGAAATTCAGAAAATTCAGAAATGCAGAAGTCCAGAAATTCGGAAATTCAGAAATTCAGAAAATTCAGAAATGCAGAAGTCCAGAAAATTAAAAAAAAAATTTAAAAAAATTTTTTTTTTTAAATCAAAAAAACAAAATTTTAAATTTCCAAACTGAAAGATGCGGATTATTCAGATTTTTAGAAAGCAGGAGATTTTCGGGTATTTTTTGTCAATTTTTTTTTCACAAAACGCAAACTTTTTCGGGTATATTGTGCCCCCGAATTGAAGATTCCGTACCCCTTCATTGCTTTGTACCCCTTTGTACCTCCCGAGGCATTTGTCAGCAATGACTAACGACACTAGACTCTGTTTTAGTTGTTCTGATTATCAATGATCATTTCCCTCCCAGGTGATTTTCCCCCGTTTCCTCAAATTTTTGACATTTCAATAACCTAGACAAGTGCATCATGACCATCAGAAAATCCCAAGTTCCCCCTACTTTAAGCTCCGCCCCTTTTTAGTCCATAACTTTTTTCATCAAGATTCATTTGGCGGATTTTCAATGCATCATTTAAAAATCTTCTTTTAGTTCTGATATTTTATGAAATTCCATATTTCCATTAAGAAAAAAGTATCGAATTTCCAGAGGCTAGAAATCGGAAAATCTCTCTCTCTCTCTCTCTCTCTCTCTCTCTCTCTCTCTCTCTCTCTCTCTCTCGCTCTCTCTCTCTCTCTCTCTCTCTCTCCCTCTCTCTCTTCAATGTTTCAAAATCAGAATTTTCTGAAAATCCCAGACTTCTCAACCTTCTGAAAAAATCATGAGCAGCCTCAACAAGGGTTTCATCGTCTGGATTCTCATTGTCAGTGTCATTATCAGTTGCTGTCACGCCAAATCAATCCCTGTCAAGCGTCGCATGGTCCTTCGACTTCCATTCGTGCACAATCAGGATAACAGTCAGGTAGGTACGCTGGTTGGGCGGGAAATTTGAAAAGTTTGAAAAAAATAAATTTCTTGACCTCGTCTTCAATTTTTGAAATGTTTTTCGTCCAGTTTCTAAGAATGAAATAGTTCCCAGTTCTGGGAATGTCAGAAGTTCCGGAATCCTGAAACAGATAAGCTATGGATATCACCTGGAAAAATGAGATGAATGAGCAGAATGAGAAAAACCAAAAATTCAAAAAAAGATCAAAGGGTTTCTGAATTCCTGAATTTTTGAATTCCTGGATTTCTGAATTCCTGAATTTCTGAATTCCTGGATTTCTGAATTCCTGAATTTCTGAATTTCTGAATTTCCGAATTACTGAATTTCTGAATTTCTGAATTTCTGAATTCATAAATTCCTGAATTCCTGAATTTTTGAATTTCTGAATTTTTGAATTCCTGGATTTCTGAATTCCTGAATTTCTGAATTCCTGAATTTCCAAATTTCCGAATTTCCAAATTTCTGAATATCTGAATTTCTGAATTCATAAATTCCTGAATTTCTGAATTTCTGAATTTCTGAATTCATGAGTTCCTATTTTTAGTTTCACTTTGACAATTTCAAAATCCTATTTTTTTCAATTTCTCAAATTTCCAGAACTCCTTCCAACAACGAACCTTCCTCCGTATGCTCAATGGAAACTCTAAAATCAAGAAGGCACTCAATTCTGACGAATTCTCAGGTGCCTCGTCTTCTGATTCTAATGGAAGCGATCAGCAACATCTGTACATGTTCCGTCAACTCTATTAAATTCATTTCTCTTCCCTTCTGAGCATTTCTCTTCCTTTTTTGAAAAATCTTCACTTTGAATGATTTTACTCTCTACAAAAAAAACTTTTTTAATTTTTTCCGAATCTCTAAATCTCGAAAATCGTCTAGTCTCTCTCCTTTTTTTTCAGAAAATCTCATTTTTAATAGTACGAGTTTTTTAACCACCCCCTATTATTATTATTTTTGTACCGCCCGTCCCAAAAGAAGAAAATATTTTTTTTACAAAATAATGAACAATGAATAAAGGAAGAAAATTGTTGACAATTAAAATTTTTGATTTTTTGAATTCAAAAAACTGAAATTTTGAAAAAAATGGTTAAAACTAAAAAAAGTTACAAAAGTTTGAAAATTCAAAAAAAACGGAATTTTGTTTTTGAAGAAGAACAATCCTTATTAAGTATGATTCTTACTAAGAACAATCCTTATTAAGAAAGATCCTCACTAAGAACAATCCTTATTAAGTATGATTCTTACTAAGAAGGATCCTCACTAAGGGCGATTCTGAATTTGGGAATTTTAGGAAATTCTAAGTTTTTAGGAATTCAAAAGCTTCCTAGATTTCAGTACAATGTTTTCTTTTTCAAATTTTTGGTTTTCAGATTTTCAGAAAAAGTTAAAATAAATAAATTTTATTCAAATAAGTTAATTAATTAATTAATCAAAAACAGAGTACAGTAGCAAGGACAATAGTCAAGAAAGAGGTGACAATGGATAAGGGGGCGGAGCTAGATTTGGATGGTGGGACAACGTAAGCTCCAGGTGATGGGACAGTGAATCCAGGATGACCAGTTGGAACTGGATAAGCTGGGAAAGGAGTGGTTCTAACGTCCTTTTTCGTGGTTCCTGTGGTCCATGGCTCAGTGGAATAGGTGGAAAAGGTCCATGAGGTTGTCTCAGATGGCCTTGGGGCTGGTGGAAGGGTACTGGGCAATGGAATGTACTGACAGACACCTTGGACCTCTCTAGACTCAACAATTCCAAATCTGACGGCATCGGAGCATGTGATTCTTGATGGGATTAGACCAAAAATTCGGGCTAGTAGCTGGTAGTTGATTTGGATTTGACGTTGGATTTGGGAGGTCGAGGAGCAGGTTTTAGAGCAGCACTGGAAATAAAATAAGGTCAAAAAATGAGCTTTTGAAGATCCGGAAAGTTCTAGAATCTAAAATCTTGCAAACTCTTACCCCTTGTTGAGATCCAGTAGAGATTCCACAGGATATGGTAGCCTGGATAGCACGCAAATCGATGAAGCAGCATTCTCTGAAAATTCCAGATCTGCAGTTTAAATTTTCAGCCAAAAAAACGCACCCATTGGGTCCTGGTGGTACTTCCCCGTCTTTTGGAGTAATGGTCGGAATTGGTTGAGCAGTTGTTGGCCATTCTGGAACAGGATACACTGGGATTACTGTAGTTTGAGTTGGAGGAGGAGCAGTTGGGTATCCAGATGGTGTTGGTGACGTGGCATATCCATTTGTTGGAACTGTTGGATAGGTGGCAGGAGGAGGAACTGAGGAGCAAATTAGAGATGGAAAAAACATAGAGAACTGAGGAGAAAACGGAAATTTTGAGGAAATTTGAAAAAAGAAAATTAAAGGGACAGACTTACGGGTTGTTGGTAGGGTTGGTTGGGTTGGCTGGGTTGGTGGAGCAGTGTAGATGCTGAAAATTGGAAGAAATTTCCAGAAAAATTATATTTTTGAAGCATATGGGAAGATAGCTTCCAAAAAAGCCCTATTTTGAGGTTTCTAAATTTTGGGCAAATTGGAAATTTTGGCAAGAAACTCACATTTTTGACTTAGGATGGGTTTATTTTGACCTAGGTGGGTCAGTTTTTGTTGCCTGTTTTTTGCCCTAGGTACCTGTTGCTTTTTTACCTTGGGGGTCACAAAAATGTCAATTTGAAGGTCCTGGTTCTCTGATTAAGGTACTTACTAAAATCCCAAAGCCATCTAAATCACTAGGTTTCTGTGTAAATTGATCCATGATGACCTAACCACTACCTAGGCCCCTGGGGACCTATACAGTACCCCCAAATATAATAATCCCGCTTAACTTACCATGGTGGTCTAGGAGTGGTAGTGGATGTGGTTGTGGTAGTTGGCGCCTCTGTTGTAGTTGTTGGGACACATGGGGGCGGTGGTGGGACAGTTGTGGTTGGTGGAGCAGTGGCGTATCTGGAAGATCTTTTTTGGGCTGAAAATTTGAATCTAGACTAAATTAGGGGTGCTAACAAAAAATTTAACATTAATAAAGTGTGAAAATGATTTTGAAGGTTAGAAATCTGAAAAAAAATTTACCCTGGGACCGGTGGAAGTGGGTAGTATTGGTTTCCTAGTGGTGCTGGTGGGAATCCTGGAGTATTTCCTTCTGGAACATCTGGTCCAGGTACACCTGGGACATTTTGTTTTGGTGGAATATTTGTTCCTGGTCCCCATGGTCTTGGTGGAATCTGTCCTGGAATTGTGAATGGTGGGCTCGGAGGAGCTGGACTGCCTGGTCCAGGAACCACTTGTACTTGCATGTTCTTACCGTAACAGCACAGCCGGCACACAGCGCAATTCTGGAAAAATTTCTCAGTGTTGAGAATTCAGAAATTCAGAAATTCAGAAATTCAGAAATTCAGAAATTCAGAAATTCAGAAATTCAGAAATTCAGAAATTCAGAAATTCAGAAATTCAGAAATTCAGAAATTCAGAAATTCAGAAATTCAGAAATTCAGAAATTCAGAAATTCAGAAATTCAGAAATTCAGAAATTCAGAAATTCAGAAATTCAGAAATTCAGAAATTCAGAAATTCAGAAATTCAGAAATTCAGAAATTCAGAAATTCAGAAATTCGGAAATTTAGAAGTTCGGAAATTCAGAAATTCAGAAATTCAGAAATTCAGAAATTCAGAAATTCAGAAATTCAGAAATTCAGAAATTCAGAAATTCAGAAATTCAGAAATTCAGAAATTCGGAAATTTAGAAGTTCGGAAATTCAAAAATTCAGAAATTCAGAAATTCAGAAATTCAGAAATTCAGAAATACAAAAATTCAGAAATTCAGAAATTCAGAAATTCAGAAATTCAGAAATTCAGAAATTCAGAAATTCAGAAATTCAGATATTCAGATATTCAGAAATTTGGAAATTCAGAAATTCAGAAATTCAAAAATTCAGAAATTCAGAAATTCAGAAATTCGGAAATTTAGAAATTCAGAAATTCAGAAATTCAGAAATTCAGAAATTCAGATATTCAGATATTCAGAAATTTGGAAATTCAGAAATTCAGAAATTCAAAAATTCAGAAATTCAGAAATTCAGAAATTCGGAAATTTAGAAGTTCGGAAATTCAGAAATTCAGAAATTCAGAAATTCAGAAATTCAGAAATTCAGAAATTCAGAAATTCAGAAATTCAGACATTCAGAAAATCAAAAATTTAGAAATTCAGAAATTCGGAAATTCAGAAATTCAGACATTCAGAAAATCAAAAATTTAGAAATTCAGAAATTCGGAAATTCAGAAATTTCGAAATTCAGAAATTCAGAAATTCAGAAATTCGGAAATTTAGAAGTTCGGAAATTCAGAAATTCAGAAATTCAGAAATTCAGAAATTCAGAAATTCAGAAATTCAGAAATTCAGACATTCAGAAAATCAAAAATTTAGAAATTCAGAAATTCGGAAATTCAGAAATTCAGAAATTCAGATATTCAGAAATTAGGAAATTCAGAAATTCAGAATATTCCGAAGTTTTAGTTTCAAACTCACAATTCTTATCCGTTGTCCATTTCTGAAAATAATAATGGTCTTATTTTGACCATCCTGGCCAATGGGTACTGTAGGAATTGTACGGTAGCCGAGAGAGTTGAAGGACGCCAAAGCGCAGCCAAAAAGAGCCAAGAGAAGAGAATAATGGAGCATTTTCTGAAATTTTCGTGTTGAAAAATGGAATTTTTGGGAAAAATGGGTGTAAAAAGTGGAAATTTGGGATATTTTAAATTTTTGAAAATTTTTGAAAAAATTTTTTTTTGGAAAATTTTCAAAAAAAATTTTTTTTCAAAAAGTTGTTCTTCTTTGAAAAATGCCAATTACAGTGATAAAACCAAGTCAAAGTATGATTTTCAACCCAATCCCCTCTTATTTATACCCCCTATCAGTTACACTGTAACCCATCCCAAAAGTGGGCGGTGCCTAGAAAACCTAGAAACAAAAGATGTGGTTTTTTACTATACGATTTTTTTTGATTAGAAAAAAAAGTGTCTTCCTGTACTATACAGAGTACCTGAAAACAATGGGTCCAAGTAGACACCCCCCAAGATTACAATAGAGCGCAAAAAATGAGTCACGAAGTAATTTTTTCTCTGCGTCTCTTCATTTTCTGTGCTCTCTAGGTAGAAAAAGTGCCTTTTATGTATGTAAAACATTTTATTACAGGTAGTAGTTGTATAGTAGTTGTAGTAGTAGTACACGGATGTGATGGATTAGGCTCCGCCCACTTTTAGGCCCCGCCCACTTTTGTCTGGAAGTTTCCGTCTGGAACTTAAGGGATGGGCTAGTATAAATAATGAGGGATGGGACGGGAAAGATGAGAAATCAAGAGTTTTCGATTTTTTTTATTTAGAAAAGAGATTTTCCCTGAATTATTGAATTTTTTCGTCCCGAATTTCTGATTCTTCTATACATTCTGGAATTTCTGAATTTTTGGGAAGTTCGAATTTCCTGAAATTTTAAACTTCTTGGATATTCTCGATGTTCTGGAATTTCTGATTTTCTGAATGTCTGAATTTCTGAATTTCTGAATTTCTGAATTTCTAAATTTCTGAATTCCTGAATTTCTGAATTTCTGAATTTCTGAATTTCTGAATTTCTGAATTTCTGAATTTCTGAACTTCTGAATTTCTGAATTTCTGAATTTCTGAATTTCTGAATTTCTGAATTTCTGAATTTCTGAATTTCTGAATTTCTGAATTTCTGAACTTCTGAATTTCTGAATTTCTGAATTTCTGAATTTCTGAATTTCTGAATTTCTGAATTTCTGAATTTCTGAATTTCTGAATTTCTGAATTTCTGAATTTCTGAATTTCTGAATTTCTGAATTTCTGAATTTCTGAATTTCTGAATTTCTGAATTTCTGAATTTCTGAATTTCTGAATTTCTGAATTTCTGAATTTCTGAATTTCTGAATTTCTGAATTTCTGAATTTCTGAACTTCTGAATTTCTGAATTTCTGAATTTCTGAACTTCTGAATTTCTGAATTTCTGAATTTCTGAATTTCTGAATTTCTGAATTTCTGAATATCTGAATATCTGAATTTCTGAATTTCTGAATTTCTGAATTTCTGAATTTCTGAATTTCTGAATTTCTGAATTTCTGAATTTTTGTATTTCTGAATTTCTGAATTTCTGAATTTCTGAATTTCTGAATTTTTGAATTTCCGAACTTCTAAATTTCCGAATTTCTGAATTTCTGAATTTCTGAATTTCTGAATTTCTGAATTTCTGAATTTCTGAATTTCTGAATTTCTGCATTTCTGAATTTCTGCAATTTCTGAATTTCCGAACTTCTAAATTTCCGAATTTCTGAATTTCTGAATTTCTGAATTTCTCCCCCCCTGAATTTCTGAATTTCTGAATTTCTGAATTTCTGAATTTCTGAATTTCTGAATTTCTCCATTTCTGAATTTGTCAATTTCTGCATTTCTGAATTTGCTGAATTTCTGAAT